GGGGCATGGAGGGGGATTTGCAATGAGTCTTAAGGGGCAGAGAGGAGAAAGGGTATTCCAAGCAGAGGGAATGGCAGGAGCAAAGGCCCAGTGCTATGAAGGGTGAGGTTATCCTGGGGATGCGGAGAAGCTCAGGGTGGCTGGCATGGACGAGCATGGAGGGGAAGGGGCAGAGGAGCTGGGGATGGATTTGCCTAGAGTGAGTGTCTTCCTGCCAAGGCAGGGTGATGGGGGGCTCTCATCATATCCCATCATAGGAGACAGGCAACTGGGGTTGGGGAGGCTTATTTGTCTGTTCTACCCACCCCTCCTGTGCTATTCCTGGACTCTACCGAGACCGCTCTTCTCTCACTTGCTCCTGTGGCACAGCATGGGTTCCCATCTCCAGGACCGGCCTCCATCCACCCACGCTGGGCATCACGGAAGGATGAGATTCACTGTCAGACACTCCTTCCTCTGCAGCTCAGTCCACAGCCAGTCCACGGATGATAACTTCTAGGTGTCTCTGGAATGCCTCCCCTGGCCTGCATCCCTGTGTATACCTCCTCACTCCCCACACAGACACCTGAGGCCTCACTGGCCCTCCCACCTCCACCTGAGGGCCCTCAGAGCATTCTCCACAATTTGACCACAGTGCTCCTCACACAGCCTGAGCCTGGCTCAGGCCCCCACTTGCCCAGGATGAAGCCCAGGCTCTTCAGTACAGCTTCAGGCTCAGGCCTACTGAGCAGCACCCTTCCCCCTCCCTGCACCTGAGCCGGTGGACTGAGTTCCTTTCAGTTCCTGAACACAAGACACTTGTGCACACGGTTCCCCCTACCCCGAACATTTCCCCGGTATGGGGAGATGGGGCTGATCCTCCCAGAGGCCAGCTCAGGCAAGCCTTCCCTGCCCCCAGGGTTTCCCCAGGCCTCCAAAATGATCACCCTGGGTGGTCCCGGTGTGTCTGTTCTTGTCTGTTCCGCCACAAGCCTGGGGGCCCTTCAAGGGAGGGGAGAACCAGGTCTGATACACTTATGACCCCAGAGCAGGTAGCAGGACAGGTTTGTTGATTGAATAAGTAATCAGGGCACCCCAGACAAGACTGTTTGGTGTGGAACAGATGAGAAGGCACAGGCCTGGGGGTGTGAGCGGGGTCAGTGCAGGCTGTGCCCTCAGCCGCTTGGCCTGAGTAACTCCCTTGCTCTTCCTGGAGGAAATCAATTAAGATTATAGCAGCCTTCAAAAGGTAAATGTACTACGGAAGTGCAAGAATTGGCTATCATGGTCTGTCTCTTTCAATGTCTCTGGCTGGGAAGTTCCTCCAGGCATCTGACCTATATCCGTCTCTAAAGAGAAGCTGGTTTTGACACTGCCTTTTGCAGACACAGTCTTCAGGGGACCCTGTGGGGATGGCCTGAGAACAGTCTTCTGTCCTACCAAGTCCTTAATTGGCAGTATTAGAGTAATGAGTCACAGACAACAACCAATTAATTATCCCCAGTTATAAAAAGCTCTGCTTCCCCTTCCTGGCTGTGGAGTGAGCCCGGCCTCCTGCTGCCAGGCTCCTCCACTCCTCAGAACTGGGGGCAAGAGAAGAGGCCATTTCACCTCTCTGGTCCTTGGTTTCCTGCTTCTTTATTTGTTAAGTGTGTGTCCTGGGGGGCTGGGGGGCAAAGGCTTGGAAGAGGTGGGAATGTGTCAGGCTGGGGGCAGGAACGAGGGAGAGGAAGGGGCCCTTCCCAGGCTCTCTCCATGCACACTCTCCACTTCCCAGGATCCACTTCAGGGCCCAGGGTTGGATCCTAACCAGGGAAACACTGAGGCTTCCAAGCCTGGCATTCAAGGCTACTCCCCATCTTGTCCCAAATGCTCCTGGTGCAGTGCTCTTTCTCCTCCATCAGGCAACTTCCCAAGTCCCCCTGCCTTTCTTCTTCCAGCAAACTGTCACTTAAACCCACATCTTCAACACACGCCATCTTCCCTAGTCTCCAGCAGTTTAGGCTGCAAATCTATCGTCAGCCTGTGTGGCTGATTTCTCCATGTGTAAAATGGGCACACAATGAAACATGGCCCATGGAGATGTTACAACAATGACCAGGACAATGCATGTAAACCGTTTGCTCCCTGCATACAGTAGGTACTCAATAAATGTTAACAGATACTATTTTTTTTTTTGAGACGGAGTCTCGCTCTGTCGCCCAGGCTGAAGTGCAGTGGCCGGATCTCAGCTCACTGCAAGCTCCGCCTCCCGGGTTCACGCCATTCTCCTGCCTCAGCCTCCCGAGTAGCTGGGACTACAGGCGCCCGCCACCTCGCCCGGCTAGTTTTTTTTTTTTTGTAGTTTTAGTAGAGACGGGGTTTCACCGTGTTAGCCAGGATGGTCTCGATCTCCTGACCTCGTGATCCACCCGTCTCGGCCTCCCGAAGTGCTGGGATTACAGGCTTGAGCCACCGCGCCCGGCCGATACTATTACTTTCATACTTCATTTTCCAGCCTAAGAATGAGAATAAAATGCCTTGTGACTCTCCCACCTTTCAGCCCATTTCGCAGATGAGACCCAGGGAGATCTGGTTTCACAAGAGTTGAACCCAGGCTTCTCTGAGTTGGGAGATACAGGAGGAGAATCCCCCCTGGGGCGGCAATGGTGAGAATAAGGAGAGACACCAGGCTCACTGGCAGAGCCCTCTCCACCACCCCTCAGCCCAGGCAGCTCTCCTCTCCCTGCCAGCCCCCATGGAGCTCACGCAAGGCCTCTATTTGTTCAGCAAAATTTCTGGAGCCCCTACCCTGCACCAGTCATGTCTTTGAGAAACCAGATTGCTATTCCTTCGTTGTGAGAGTCCAGCCCCATCGCTGCCCTCACCCACTTGCCTCAGGGAGGAATAGGGACAGAAAAGAGAAACAGGGAGAGAGAGAAAGGATGAGGGGTAGAGGCTTGGAACCAGGAAATAGGAGACAGGGGGTGGAGCAAAGTGAGCAACTGCAGGGAGAAAGGGGCGGGGGAGCAGAGGATGCTCATCTTCAGCTATGAGTTTGGGGTCACCTGAGGTGAGCTCAGCCCTTTCTGCAGAGGCGCTGCCACCCAGAGCTGCTGCAAAACCTATACCCTCTCCTTGCCTAGCTCATGGCCCCCTGCTGCCCCTCCAGCCTTGGCCCCAGACCCCTGCCCCAGATTGGTGACCCAGACCCTAGCCTTGCAGGGTACGTTCTGTTCTGGTTCTCAGTCAGCTCAAAACCAGCCTCGGCCCACCTCCTCCACTCTGGGCCCTGTGCTGGCCGCAGCCAAGACCATCACTTCCTGACTCCATGCCTATGACTGGCCAGCCTTGGTCCCACCAAGGGGATGAGACTCCTGGGAGATACGCCTTCCCCAGCGTCTGCCCCTATGGCCAAGGGGCTTCCTGCCTGGGAGCTCAGCCATCCTTCTTCTCCCCTTAGCCTCAGCTGTCTCCCCACCCCATTCACACCAGTGGCTGCTGGACCTCCACTGCCTAGGTCCAGATCCAGAACAGAGTGTGGAGCATGGCAGTGTGTCCACGGGATTCTGAAGCCATGATCACAACCTATCTCCCATTTCAGAGATGGAGAGGCTGAGGCTTGGGCATCTGGAATGACCTGTCTCAATGGCTAGTCATAGCTGGCACTGTGCTGGTCACATCACAGCCCTCATCACATGTCATGGCCCAGTGGCTCCTTGAGAGGAGTGTGTCTCCCCTCCAGTTCACAGGTGAGGGAGCTCACAGGCAACTAGATTCAAGTAGTTGCACCACCAAAACCTGAATCCATCTGACTCTAGAGCCCACGGCCTGTGCCCCTCCACGTAAGAGGGAAAGCTGTGACATATGGTATCTCAGAGGGCTTCCCAGCAGGGGCCTGGAGTGGAGAGACCGGGGCTCTAGTATTGACGTTGCCAGGGGCCTGCTTTGGGCAGGTCCTTCCCTCTCCTTTGCCTCAGTTTGGCCACTTGACTCCTCTGTGGCTGGGAGTGGGGAGATGGCAGTGAATCAGGCCTGGTGCCCACCCTGGCAGTTCCTGCTTTTTACTGTTTGGGGGTCATGAACCCAGGCTCCTCAGTCTAGGGCTCTATTCCTCATCAGCACAGGCAGAGGAGGGCAGACAGGTGGATAAGCTTCACCAACCTCCCCAGAGAGACAGCCAGGCCTACTGGGCCTCTGACATCAGTGGCAGCCAACACCCCCCCACCCCCCACCTCCC